ACTTAAGAACTTTCATCATTGATTTTTTGCAGTGGTTCTGACGCTTGCCACCACCACCAGGGAGTGAGGCTCAGAGTAACGCTCAACCTCCCCTACCCTCCCTCCACCTCCTCCACTGCCCCTCCTTCACCCTTCCCACTCCCTCTACCCATCTCCTCCTCCCTCCTCCTCCCCGTCCTTCTCCCCTCCTGTAACACCTCCTGTCTCCCCCCCCCGACATTTCAGAACTATTTGCCTCTTATCAAAACCAACTTTTTCAGCCGCTGTCCATAAGCGTGTAAACTCAATGAAGAATCAGCGATATATTTTGATAAACAAGAGAATTTTCAAGTGTGTCGGAGGAAACATAAGTACAGGCAGTGTCCGTTTAACGTCCGTCCATTTAACGTACCTCCACTTAACGTACGTCCACTTAACGTACCTCCACTTAACGTACGTCCACTTAACAATACTCCACTTAACGTACCTCCACTTAACGTACCTCCACTTAACGTACCTCCGCGTACCTCCACTTAACGTACGTCCACTTAACGTACGTCCACTTAACGTACGTCCACTTAACATAGACATTTTCAAGAATCCATGTAGTACGTGATTGATAAGTCCCTGTGCACCAGATGTAATGAACGCTGTAGTAATTTACATAGGAATAACAAGGCAGACATTATTGTTAATTGTGCAAGAGGCCACAGAACCTCTTCCCGATACTGCCTTCAAGAAACTACAGAATATACTTAGTCTAGAGGAAACTACAGATATCTTGTATTCTAGAGGAAACTACGATCACCCTTGTATTCAAAGAGGAAACTACGATCATCTTGTATTCAAAGAGGAAACTACGATCACATTGTATTCTAAGAGGAAACTACGATCATCTTGTATTCTAAGAGGAAACTACGATCACCTTGTATTCAAAGAGGAAACTACGATCACCTTGTATTCTAGAGGAAACTACGATCACATTGTATTCTAAGAGGAAACTACGATCATCTTGTATTCTAAGAGGAAACTACGATCATCTTGTATTCTAAGAGGAAACTACGATCATCTTTTATTCAAAGAGGAAACTACGATCACATTGTATTCTAAGAGGAAACTACGATCACATTGTATTCTAAGAGGAAACTACGATCATCTTGTATTCTAAGAGGAAACTACGATCATCTTGTATTCTAAGAGGAAACTACGATCATCTTGTATTCTAAGAGGAAACTACGATCATCTTGTATTCTAGAGGAAACTACGATCACATTGTATTCTAAGAGGAAACTACGATCATCTTGTATTCTAAGAGGAAACTACGATCACATTGTATTCAAAGAGGAAACTACGATCACATTGTATTCTAAGAGGAAACTACGATCATCTTGTATTCTAAGAGGAAACTACGATCACATTGTATTCAAAGAGGAAACTACGATCACATTGTATTCTAAGAGGAAACTACGATCATCTTGTATTCTAAGAGGAAACTACGATCATCTTGTATTCTAAGAGGAAACTACGATCACCTTGTATTCAAAGAGGAAACTACGATCATCTTGTATTCTAAGAGGAAACTACGATCACCTTGTATTCTAAGAGGAAACTACGATCACCTTGTATTCTAAGAGGAAACTACGATCATCTTGTATTCTAAGAGGAAACTACGATCACCTTGTATTCTAAGAGGAAACTACGATCATCTTGTATTCTAAGAGGAAACTACGATCACCTTGTATTCTAAGAGGAATCACCTTGTATTCTAGAGGAAACTACGATCACCTTGTATTACTACGATCACCTTGTATTCTAGAGGAAACTACGAAGAGGAACATTGTATTCTAAGAGGAAACTACGATCACCTTGTATTCTAAGAGGAAAAATTCTACGATCACCTTGTATTCTAAGAGGAAACTACGATCACCTTGTATTCTAAGAGGAAACTACGATCACATTGTATTCTAAGAGGAAACTACGATCACCTTGTATTCTAAGAGGAAACTACGATCATCTTGTATTCAAAGAGGAAACTACGATCACATTGTGTTCTAAGAGGAAACTACGATCATCTTGTATTCTAAGAGGAAACTACGATCACCTTGTATTCTAAGAGGAAACTACGATCACCTTGTATTCTAAGAGGAAACTACGATCATCTTGTATTCTAAGAGGAAACTACGATCATCTTGTATTCTAAGAGGAAACTACGATCACCTTGTATTCTAAGAGGAAACTACGATCACCTTGTATTCTAAGAGGAAACTACGATCATCTTGTATTCAAAGAGGAAACTACGATCACATTGTATTCTAAGAGGAAACTACGATCACCTTATATTCTAAGAGGAAACTACGATCACCTTATATTCTAAGAGGAAACTACGATCACCTTGTATTCTAAGAGGAAACAATACCGTACGTATGTCAGGTGAAGACCATAGACTCTCGGCGCCAACACCACCTTGATAATTATATATAAGTGGGAGGAAAGCCAAGACTCATTGAGGCTTATCATAAACCTGTCTATTTGATCAACAACCTTCATTTACGTGTTAAGACATATCACACACACACACACACACACACACACACACACACACACACACACACACACACACACACTCTCTCTCTAACAGGTATGTGTGTACCCAGAAGCCAATAGGAGACGCCATATAAAGTCTACGGTCTTCTCCCGCCGTGTTTAACTTACTGGTCTAATAACCTCTGGGGGATAAAATGTGTGGAAAATAAATTTATTGTGGTTTATGTTGACAGTTAGAATACACACACACACACACACACACACACACACACACACACACACACACACACACACACACACACACACACACACAGAAATATACACACAAATATACAAAAACATACAAATAAACATACAGTACACATACACACGAAAAGATAAACACGTGCACACAGAAACACACACACAACTAAGATATATATACGCGCACACACACACACACACACACATACCTGGGACTAGGCCGGCAAGAAACAACAGCAACAACAACAACAAATAAATAAATAAAAGAAATTTGAATCCAAAATGACGTGACAAAAGGGGTAGAAACACACTCCGGGCGGGGACGTGTTGTGACCAGTAAGAAATACGTGTCCCGGGCAGCTGAAAATATGACAGAGCGGAGCAATGAACACGGTGGAAATTGTCCGTCTGTCAGGAATTGCTTCAGTTTAACCCCAGTAGAGAGAGAGAGGGAGAGAGAGAGACATGACCTTTAAGTGTATGGCGGGTGACTAATATAGATAGATAGATAGATAGATAGATAGATAGATAGATATATACATACATACATACATGCATGCACACCACAAATCACCACACGCATACATAAATACACACACACATCACGCTAGTTGGGGCTCTCACTCCCTCACACACCCATCCTTACCACCCGACCTTCCTTACTGTCCACCTCCCTATCCCTACCTCCCCCTCTCTCTCGACTGTGCCCGTCTCTCTAACCCGTCTCCCTACCCCGTCTAGCTCTGCCCTATCTCCCTGCCCCGTCTAGCTCCCCTCTATCCTCCTGTCCCACTCTCTTCGTCTTCCGTCCCCCTCCTCCCCTATCCTTCTGCCCCTACCCACTGTCCCACTCCCCCATCCAGATCCCTTTCGTCTCCCGTCCCCCTGCCTCTCTCCCTTACCCCTCTCCCCCTGACTCGTTTCTCTCCCCCCTGCCTTCGTCACCGTGACCTGGGGCTAGTATACAAACACTAGTATACAACAATATACCGTCACTAAACCAATTTTTAGCCATACCTCAGACTTAAGAGCAGCGTTGTTGGCTAACATTTCGTTACATCAGTATAGGCTGGAGTTTAGCTCGTAGCACCTAGGGACCTCGCCTTCCACACCTCCTTCCACTGTGTCACGATCATTCTGCCAGGCGTTGCTTCTCCTTCTCTGGCATCTGTAGAATAAATTATATATCACTACAAGAATGAAAATATATACACCTACCTATATCATAAATGGCCTCAGCTCCTATACCAACACTGGACACGAGGTAAATGGCCCCTCACTGGGTTTATTTTGAACCAAGTATTATATATAAGATGGAGTACCTTAGTATAATAAATTAACACCACTCAGTCAAAATTAGTCAACACCACACTGAGAATTCTGGGATCACACACACACACACACACACACACACACACACACACACACACCAAGCAGAGTTTTCAAATGACGGAGAGAGAGGGAGAGTGGTGGGAGGGAGGGAGAGAGGGAGAGAGGGAGAGAGAGTGGTGGGAGGGAGGGAGGAGGGAGGGAGGGAGGGACGCTGGACATTGGAACACCGTCCACTTTTGAGGCTGCAGTTCCTTATTGTCGTGATCCAAACCTCGAGAAAGAGTACACCCGCTCCCCTGCCTCCCCCGCTCTACCTCCCGTTCACTTTCTTTCATTTTTCCCTCTCTCTCGCTCTCTCTCTCCTTCCTTACTTCCTCTCTCCATCCCCTTCTCTTTCTTACTCTCTCACTCCCTCTCATTCACTTCCTCTTTCCATCCTCCTCCGACCTCTTACTCACTCCCTCCTCCCTTCATCTTCCACCCTCCTTCGTCGAGTCGCCTCCTACGATTGGTCAGGGCATGCGAGAGGCCCAACCTAACCTAACCTAACAACCTAACCTAACCTAACCTAACCACTAAAGGCATGAAATTCTGGATACCATCAGCCAGCGACTAAAACATTCTGGGGGTATTGGCACAAATAGTTCCCGTTAACAAATACATGAGAGTTTCGGGTGTGTGAGGTGTGATCGAGTGTTCCTTTATCAACAACTCAGGTGAGAACCATTTCGGGCGTGTACACCACCTGGTAAATGGTACCTCAATAACATGGTGTGTGTGTGTGTGTGTATGATGTGTGTATATGTGTGTATGTGTGTGTATGTGTGTGTATGTGTGTGTGTGTGTGTGTGTGTGTGACTTATGTTTGCGTACAAATAAAATCTATTCATAAACGCTCCAAGGCACTGGTCTGACTGCCACCCGCCCATCACTAGATCCCAGCCACCCACCCATAACCAGACCCTGCCACCCGCCCACCGTCAGACCCCTGCCACCCGCCCATCACCAGACCTCTGCCGCCCATCACCAGACCCTGCCACCGCCCATCACCAGACCCCTGCCACCCGCCCACCGTCAGACCCCTGCCACCCGCCCATCACCAGACCCCTGCCACCCGCCCACCGCCAGACCCCTACCCCGCCCATCCACCAGACCTCTGCCACCGCCCATCCAGACCCTGCCACCCGCCCATCACCAGACCTCTGCCACCCGCCCATCACCAGACCCCTGCCACCGCCCATCACCAGACCCCCTGCCACCCGCCCACCGCCAGACCCCTGCCACCGCCCATCGCCAGACCCATGCCACCCGCCCATCACTAGACCCCAGCCACCGCCCATCACCAGACCTCTGCCACCGCCCATCACCAGACCCATGCCACCGCCCATCACTAGATCCCAGCCACCCACCCATAACCAGACCCCCACACCCGCCCATCACCAGACCTCTGCCACCCGCCCATCACCAGACCCCCGCCACCCGCCCACCGTCAGACCTTGCCACCTGCCCATCCAGACCCCTCACCGCCCATCACCAGACCTCTGCCACCCGCCCATCACCAGACCCCTGCCACCCCCACCATCACCAGACCCCTGCCACCCGCCCACGTCAGACCCTTGCCACCCGCCCATCACCAGACCCTGCCACCGCCCATCACCAGACCCCTGCCACCCGCCCATCACCAGACCCCGCCACCCGCCCACTGTCAGACCCTTGCCACCCGCCCATCACCAGACCTCTGCCACCCGCCCATCACCAGACCCTGCCACCTGCCCATCACCAGACCCCCGCCACCGCCCACCGTCAGACCACCACCCGCCCATCACCAGACTTCCCCACACACACTTTAACATATTAAAATAGAAATTACTGCCACCTATCTGAAGCCTGCTGTGTGTTACCTGTTATCTGCTACTTGTTACCTGCTGCCTGTTACCTGTTACATGTTGCCTGCTACCTATTGTGTTAGCTGCTGTCTGTTACATGTTGCCTGTTGCCTGTTACCTGCTACCTATTGTGTTAGCTGTTGTCTGTTACATGTTGCCTGCTACCTATTGTGTTAGCTGCTGTCTGTTACATGTTGCCTGTTGCCTGTTACCTGCTACCTATTGTGTTAGCTGCTCTGTTACATGTTGCCTCATTCCTGTTGCCTGTTGCCTGCTACATATTGCCTCCTGCCTGTGCTCTTGAGTCTAAGATTTACACTCGTCAGGATGGTGAACCGCCAGAATAACACAGCAGTGGTACGTTTCTTGATTAAAGGTAAGAATAACTGCTTCTCCTCCAACCACTTCTTCTTCACCTCGTCTCCTCTTATTCTTATTCTTCTAATTCTTTTCTCTTCTTCTCCTTCTCTTCACCTCGTCTCCTCCTCGTCTACTTCTAATTCTTCTTCAACTCGTTCTTCTTCTTCTTCTTCTTCTTCTTCTTCTTCTTCTTCTCGTCTTTACCTCGTCTCCTCGTATTCTTCTTCGTCTCATTCTTCTCCTCCCGATTCTACTCTTCATCTCATTCCTACTCTTCTTATTCTTTTTCTTTTCCCCATTCTTATCTTCTCTTCTTCTCATTCTTCTTTCTTTTCTCCTCATCCTTTTCTTCCTCTTCCATCTTATCATCATCATCTTCAACCTCTTCCCTCATTCTTCCATGCAGCACCTCAACCCACATATCCACACAGCACCTCAACCCACATATCCACACAAGACCTCAGAGACCAACCTTATGACTACCAAACGAATGTGTGTGTGTGTGTGTGTGTGTGTGTGTGTGGGGCAAGTAGGGTTAAAACCGAGATAAGGAAAGCCAAGAGGAATAATGAGGTAAGGATAGCAAGGGAGGCGAAGACAAACCCCAAAGGATTCTACCAAATGTATCAAACTAAAACACGAGAAAAAATTGGACCAATACGGTCAGATACCGGCGAGTTCACTGATAACGACGGAGAAATGAGCAATAATTTGAATAAATATTTTTCAACAGTTTTCACCACCGAAAATTTAAACATCATACCCGAGGCACCGACTCTATACAGAGATAGTGAAGAAAATAAATTAAGCGAGATAGTAGTGACTAGTAACGATGCTAGTAAGCAAATAGACAAACTAAAGCCTAATAAGTCACCAGGTCCCGATGAAATATTTGCCAGAGTATTAAAGGAATGTAAGGAAGAGCTTAGTATGCCCTAAGCAAAGTTGTTTAACATGTCCTTAAAAACAGGTGTAGTACCAGAACCCTGGAGGATAGCGAATGTAATACCGATTTTCAAGAAGGGGGATAGATCACTATCCTCTAACTTCCGCCCAATCAGTCTAACATCAATAGTAGGCAAATTACTGGAAGCAATCATTTCAAACTCTATTCGAAATCACCTGGAGAAGCACCGATTGATCAATGATTCCCAGCATGGCTTCACAAGCGGACTTTCATGTCTAACTAATCTATTAACAGTCTTTTCATCAGTTTTCGAATCGATGGACGAGGGGCACAATTATGATGTGGTATATCTCGACTTTAGCAAAGCCTTCGACAGAGTCCCCCACAAAAGACTAATTAGAAAGGTAGAAGCACATGGCATCAAAGGTAATATCCTTAAATGGATTAGGGCGTGGTTACAGGACAGGAAACAGCGAGTGAGCATTAACGGCACTAAGTCCCATTGGAGCAATGTCACTAGTGGAGTTCCCCAAGGCTCAGTACTTGGACCATTATTATTTATTATATACATAAACGACATAGATATCGGCATAGACAGCAACATAAGTAAATTTGCTGATGACACTAAAATAGGACGTGTTATTAAATCTGACGAGGACTCCGCAAAACTACAGGAAGATCTAAACAAATTTTTCGAATGGTCTGAAAAATGGCAGATGGAATTCAACGTGGACAAATGTAAAGTACTCAGTATAGGAGATGTAAACAGGGAAACCAGATACCAGATGAACAACGATGCCATAGAGAAATCCGATTGCGAGAGAGATTTAGGAGTAATGATAAGTAGGAACCTTAAGCCAAGTAAATGTGTTTTTGCTCGTCAACAAGGCTAATAAAGTACTTGGGTTCATAGAAAGGAGTGTTAGTTACAAGACTAGCGAGGTCATCCTAAAACTGTATCTTGCTCTTGTGAGACCACACCTGGATTACGCAGTTCAGTTCTGGTCACCGTATTACAGAATGGATATAGAATCCTTGGAAAGAATTCAGAGGAGAATGGCAAGACTAATCCCGGGCATTAGGAACCTTGAGCATAGAGACAGGTTAAAGCATCTTAATTTGCACTCCCTCGAGAGACGTAGAGCGAGGGGCGACATGATAGAGGTGTATAAATGGAAGTCAGGGCTAAACAAAGGGGACATTACAAAGGTACTCAAACTATCCAATCAGGAGCGAACTCGTAACAATGGTTTTAAATTAGACAAATTTAGATTCAGGCGTGAAATAGGTAAACACTGGTTTGGAAACAGAGTAGTGGATGAATGGAACAAGTTACCAAATATCATCATTAACTCGAATACGCTGAATAGCTTCAAACATAGGTTGGATGCTCATATGAGCAATAGGGGTTGGGTGTAAACGGGACTGCCCAGTATGGGCCAATAGGCCCGCTGCAGTTTCCTCCATTCTTATGTTCTCATGTTCTTATGTGTGTGTGTGTCTAAATAATAGATGATCAAATATTTCACATTCATTTTATTCAGAATTTTATAAGAAATATCCATCAGATCTAGACAGACAATTTACGCCATGTTCGTAAAAAAATTAATTAAACTAATAAAAAAAATAAATAAATAAAAAATTACATACAGAAACACTTTAAAAAATTAATCTTAACTTTTCACAAACTTCTTATAATTAAAATACATGCAGATGACAAGTTAAATCTTTATCAAACAGGAAAAAAAGATTAATAATTGACTGTTTAACAATAGAAATCTGGCGTCTTCCTCAGCCTAACACCCACCAAGTCCTGCAGCCGCCAATTTAGAGTTGAGATTAACTTTTAACCTCTATGTCTATACAACAGCGGAGCGTCGTGAGGAAGGGATAACAACTAATTAAACTTGCTCTTGGCGGGGCGCACACATGAACACCTGTTTCAACTTATAGAAAAACGTACACACGGCGAAGGGGAGGGAGGGGGGGAAGAAGAAGGAGGGAGGTGGATAAGAAGGGAGGGAGGGGGAGGATAAGAAGGGTGGAGGGGGAGGGGAGGAGGGGGGAGTCTAGTTGTTGAAGCCCGACCAAAGAAAAGGACATTATAAAGCATAACATTATAAAAGTAACATAACAGATGCCACTATGGAAGACAGTTAACTACAGGTGCACAAAATAGTAAGAAAGAATAAAAAACCCTACAATACGAACTAAAGAACAGAATAATAAAAATTAAATATATTAACTGACTACCTGACCTACCAATCCCACCCTCCCCAAAAAACATCGAGTCAATTTTTTCTTCACTTGGCCTCACCTCTGCCGTGCCCATTATAACGCCGTATAAAACTGAATCATATAATATAGCATTAGAAACCTCTCACACACACACACACACACACACACACACACACACACACACACACACACACACAGCCCCAAATCTCGTTATCTCTCGGGGCTCTGTGATTCTTTCGAAGCCTCGGTAAGGGAATTTGGAAGGTCTAATTTACGGGTGGTCCTCGTCACGGGCTGTCTGCTGCAGGAGCCCCACACACACACCCCCTCCTCCTCCCGCCCCATCACCACCGTCACCGCCACCGTCGTTATCTGCGGTCAGTCAGTCAGTTAGTGTGTGTGTGTGTGTGTGTGTGTGACATCGGGACCTCAAGGGGGAAAGGGGACCACACACACACACAATCCAGAACGGTAATTGTATGAAAAGCAGAGACTAAAACGCAGTGGTTCCAGGGCCGCTTCCCACAACGAAGACCTACGTGTAGTGGTGGGTCAGATTACACACACACACACACACACACACACACACACACACACACACACGGGAGAGACGAGAAGTAAGTTGCTGGTAATGAACTAATTGGACCAAACCCTGAGAGTGAATGAAGTTGAGTTGAAACCGCGAGGAAAGTTGACTGGACTGATGAGAGGATTACTCCGTGAAAGTTGACTGGACTGATGAGAGGATTACACCGTGAAAGTTGACTGGACTGATGAGAGGATTACACCGTGAAAGTTGACTGGACTGATGAGAGGATTACACCGTGAAAGTTGACTGGACTGATGAGAGGATTACACCGTGAAAGTTGACTGGGCTGATGAGAGGATTACACCGTGAAAGTTGACTGGACTGATGAGAGGATTACACCGTGAAAGTTGACTGGACTGATGAGATGATTACAGCGTGACTAAATCTGAATGGCCATATAAACGATTACAATACAAATAATCTCTCAGGTACAGCAAGAATTATTTATGACCACAAAAACTAACCATAATTACCACATGCTGACGATACTCAAAAAAGAGGCCAGGTAAAAATAATGAGGTTACGGACACCTGTATATTATGATAAGATGTTCTCAGAAGACAAATCGCCATCACGGGTCTTATGCGTCACTAATCCGAGTCATTGCGTTGTTCTAATTTTTTTTTTAAACAAGGCAGTTACCGAGGCATATTGTACATGACCTGAAGATTTTAGAGATACATCCTGGGTTGTTTATGTCACCTCAGGTCAGGTTAGGTCAGGTTAGATTAGATTAGATAAGAATAGATTAGATTAGGTCAGGTCAGGTTAAGTCAGATCAGGTCAGGTTAGATTAGATTAGATTAGATTAGAGTAGGTCAGGTCAGGTTAGATCAAGTCAGGTCAGGTCAGGTTAGATTAGATTAGATTAGGTCAGATTAGG